TTTTCCCTAAATTAATTTGATGAAATGTGATTAGGATGGACATCATGAGTTTAGGGATTGAAGACCTCCTTATCATCACCCTAATCTTTATCTCCGTCCTGCCAGGACTAGTTGGGCTGCTTCACTTCAGAATGACCTTGTTCAATCAAAATTTACCCTTAATAAAAATCTGCAATAGTTTCTGTCTAAGCTGATAACAGAGCAGAGTAAATCTTAAAGGATCCTCATTAATGCGTATTACCTTTATTTTATTAAAGTAAGCAGCATCAGTTTTTTCTTTTTAATTAATTCCAGTGAGAGGGTATTCGTCTGACAGCTTCCCGTATTCATAGAAAGCACCATTGTCCCAGTTTCCTGTGGATTCAGGAAGCCAGATGTCACAATGACTTTACCTGACAGTTGTGGTGATTTACTCCCTGGTGCCTACTCATCTGTCTTACTCCTGCAGAGATGAATCGACATCACTACTCGCTGTATGTCCATAATTGCCGACTGGTCTTCCTGCTGAGGAGGGACTTCACTCAGGTGGACACCTTCAGACCTGCAGAGTTCCACTGGAAACTGGAGCAGGTAGGAAGCTCGTGCATGAGAGGAATGACAGACAGGAGAGCCTGTGTCCTCACCTCCCCTTTGTGGATTAAAGAAGTGGGTCACAGAACAGCCTCAGAGAGATACGGAGCATCTATCCTGGATTAGATTTCCCACAGACCTTATTCTAGATTAACATAAAGTTTACCAGCCATCCAATGGATTATTCATTCTTTGACTGACTCCATGTTTGTTGTATTTTACACAAAAAATATTATTTAATCTGGACAGATTTGTGAAAAGAGGCTTTTTATATTTTATTTGAGGGGGTTGTCATCATAAAAAAGTACATTTTAAGCTGTAAAATGTGGCAAACAGAACTAGGTCTCCTACTTGTTTAAAGTTTCAGATGATGCAACTGTTTAAAAAAGAAGATAAAGCACATCTGCCCCTGCGGCGCTGCACTGCGTTGCTATTCCCGTGGAAATGTGCTTCTGTTGTTTTAGAATCACAGAGAAATGTTGCAACCCTGCTTTGTTTTTGATAAACCAAGAAATGGATAAAAGCTTGGGATGCGTGTTTTCCAAATGTTTAGAAATAGATTC